GAAGGAGTGAGGGGAGGGATGATGAGTGGTGGATGGGATGGCCGAGGGAGGATGGGAGGCTGCTGTTGGTCGGGAAGAGTATATTGGAACCGGAGTATGTGGGATGAGGAGGCCTGATCTGGAGGGAGGGAGGTGCCCGGGAGGATCGACAAGAAGAGCGAGGGGTGGTGAAGATGGTGGTGTGGTGATGGAGGCTGGAGAGCGAGTCGGAGCGTGAGTGGCGGTTGGCCGTAAGGGTGCTGGAGGGAGTGCTGCTGAGATGGTAGAATGGGTCGAGTCGGCTCGGAGCGGGAGGGTGGCCGGAAGCAGAGAGGCTGAGATGGGGATGCTCAAGTTGGGCGGACAGGAGTAGAAGGAGGAGGAGGACTGGTTGGAATGGGCATAGTCTGGCTGGTGCTGATCAACTGGGTGAGAATGATAGTCTGAGTTCAGTGCGGAGGCTAGGACTAGGGAGGAAAGGAGGGGATGGACGGCAGGACAGGCTGAGCAGATTTGAAAAGGGAGTGGGAAACATCAACCATCAGCATTGAGATCAGAGGGACTAGACTGGGCCATCTGGAGTATTACGTTAAAGAAAGAAAGAAAGAACGGAAAGAAAGAGGGAAAGAGAGAAAGAGAGAAAGAAAACTGATACAAAAGACTGATGCAACAACAAAGGCCCAAATTACCAGAGGAGGAGGCAAACTGCCCGATGCTGATGGGGGAACTCAAGATCTATTCAAGCTGGTGATCATCACCAATTCAAGATGGGGGCCATCGAGACTGCTTTTATAATTGTATATGATACTTTTTAAATCGGGAGGATCGAGATCCAAATGTGCGCAAGTTAAGAGGAGAGGATCAGATGATGTTGATGAAGAGTTCTATGGATGAACCTAATCTGAACAATTAATGCCAAGTGGGGTTTACTTGAATGCCCATGGGAATTAAGGCCTGGAAAGCTCGTGATGAGAAGAAGCAGAACAAGTGGATTAAAGGCTTAACGATTTACCTGATGATGATGAGGTGCCGGTGCTAGGGTTGGGATGAGCCGGGGTCGATCGAGCGATAGAAGGAGAAGAAGACGAGGGAGAGAAGGAGCGCTGTTTCTGGTCCAAGTCTGTGGAAGGGTAAAAATACTCGAGGATCTACGCAGGGAGCAGGAGACAGGGAAACAGTCAGTGTTGGACTGTAGAGTCGGCTTCCTCTTGGGCATCGGATCGGCCTCTTACTTTGATCACATCCATCTCTTCGTAAATGGTTTTCCGATCTTGAGATGCGGGTGCAGCTTTCGACGAGGGGAATGCAGAGCTCGAAAATGTTCCGAGTGTGTGTGTAGAGGTGGTTGGTTCAGCTTGGAAAGGAAGCGCCGTCCAAATAGAGGATGTTATCCCCCACGAATCAGAATCTGATCAAGCCTTCTCGGTGGCTGGCTAGCTGTTGTCGCAAGACTCAAGTACACGTACAACACCAGTGGCTTTTCCCTTCTTGAATCGGAGATTCTCTTGGATTCCGTATTGGGAAGTCTACTCGTAGCCGCCTGTTGACTGCTCCGGAGCTACTTAAATATGTATTCCTATCGGGTCGCTCCGGGAAGGGGTTTGCCGCCGGAAAAATGCTGTTTCATGATGCGCTTAGAAACATCTAAATATGTGGCCAGTTGTTTATATGTACGATCAAGAAGAGAAAATGACGCACAAGGAGACAGGAAGAGACAGACAACTGGGACAGATGGCTGGACGGATACATACCATCAAAGAGAGCACACCTTAAAACTGGGAACAGACTCAGACGGCAGACCCATGGGCCATAATATGAAATCCCACAGCACACATACATAAACCTTTCATCTGGCAAACCTTTCTCCGCCTTGGATTGAAAGACACATATTTAATTAAGGCAGCTCATCCATCGACATCGAACTCTGCACCATCTGCCCATTTCTGGCACACCATCAGACACCATCCCATCTCAACAAGCCGTCAGGGTGGTCGAGCATGTTTAATTACTATCTACACAATTATTATAAAATAGATTGACCGATGCCCCCGTCGGTGCAAAAACAGCTGCCGTGGATCAAGGAGGGTTCAACTCTTACTCATGGCTTGACTTCAGTCGATGCTGATTTGCTCCTGAATTCATTGAGAATCGACAAGTTTCGTACAATCATTTTTCGTAAGCCTCAATGGTCAGCCGAGCCCAGCCGGGCCGGCTCGTACTCGAAGATCTCCATAATCGTCCGCCTCGAGGCCCGGTGACGCCGAAACGAGTCACCCTATGACTATCATCGAGTCCTTACTCAACCCGAGCGGGGCCTGATCAGCTGTTCTGCGCCGCCCTGGCTGATCGTGATCCTTGATCGATACCGCACCCTACGTAGCTTATCAAACCCTCTAGGCGATGTTACAGTCTGTCTGTAGGGGGAATCCCACCAGGAGGGCACTTGTGGATAGGCTCAACTCTCACTCCATCCCCATCACACGCCGGTTAATTATCTAACATCAACCAACACTGTTGATTTGATGGATTGGTCCCCCTGTCCGCAATCTTGCCTTCCAGCTTTCAAGTTCTTTCGCTTCATTTCCCCTGGGAACTGCCTCATAATTTGGGGCAAGACACTCATTGATAACCCCTATGAAGAAATGTAAACTCTAAAGCCCAGAATGGATTACTTTTGAACTTGGAATAGTCAATTGATCATCAGAATAGGGGCAAAACATTTTCACCTAGCAACTTGTATCAAAAGTATTAAAAGTATCATTGAGATTACAAAAAAGTTGGAAGAACTGCCTTTTGAGATCCAAGAGAAAGATGATTCAGGCTACTGGAGTGAAACTTTGAGGCCAGAGATACTGAAAAGGAGATTACATGACAGGCTATTGAGATCTATCAACTACACCTCATTCTGGGGGAGCATTGTCTTCTGTTGCAAAGAATTTTTGATGAGTTGGAGATTTTTGCCCAAGCTTTCTTAGATAACCTGCAGAACTTCCTCCACCAGGTTGAGAAAAAGGATCCAATCAAATTAAGTTTCCTAGCCCAGATTGGTTCTGTTTGAGGGTTGGCTCTGTTTGGAATACAAGTCTCCTTCCATTTTGACATGTAGAATCCAATTGGTTTCCAGCTTCTAAGCCATTCCCTATACAATCCATGAATGTCTTCAAATTTCCAGCCAGGTTTAGAAGGATCTTTTCCACCTTTTTTAGCTTTCTTGAAGGCAAGTCTTGTGAAATATCTTTTCTCATTTGCTGGAAGAACAGCATAATGTACATGCAAGGCTTCATTGAAAGTACTTTTTTGTGCATATTCATGTATTCATGAAATTAGATCACGCACCCTTGAGTTCAGGACTGAGTTCCTTTATTTTGAATAGAGTTTGAATAGGGTACTTACAGTTCTTTGAACTGAGTAATCAAGTAATTTTCAATGTCTACTATGTTTTCCCCAGATTGAAGATCTTTGACAAATGGATTCTTCAAGCTATAAAAATACACAAATCAACTTCAAATCAAATAGTGGGGAGTCAAGCAGCCATTTGAAGAAATAAATAAGCAATGAACATACTCTTCATTATGATTCTTGAGCCACATCAAGGCTTCAAATACTAGAGTTGAAATCGTTAGGTTTTCAGGAGTTCCATCAATAAAATGACGTGGTTGATGTTCTCTATGAATTAAAGCACCAGAGATCAGTTACAACTTTTGGGTTTTTTTCAAAACTGGTGGCTTATCAAATTTAGGTTGACCTCAAATAGCTTTCAAAAAGGAGCATTATAACTGGGTTAATTTTCATCACCCTTGGTGCGATGACCTCAAATGTACGCAATGACCTGAATTTGGGTTAAATAGTTTTTTCATTTATCTTTACAATTAGAAGATCAATAACTGAATGATTATCCTTCAAAGGAAAAAGAAAACAAAACTTGCATTATTTCCTCAGAATTACCAACACTTGCTTTTGGAAGTAAGGCATATTTTGAAGGTGGTCTGTTGATTTTGGTCCTTGTTTTATTTTCTCTATTTTCTAGTTATTTGTATTTTTGAAAAGGATAAGAGAGCTCATGATCAAAATCAAGTAATTTCTCATAGAGATTGTCCTGATGATGACTTGCCTATGTTTCCTCTAGTTCCACTTTGTAAAGAAGATTTTCTGGCACATTTCCTTGAGTCTTCAAAAGATCCTGTTTGAATTCCTGTTACTCCAGATTCAGGATCTGAGGCAATTTGTCTGCCATCTTTGTACCTATTTTGGATTGATCATGATTTTCAGCAATGTGTACCTCATTACAGGAAAGTGACTTGAGCCATGAAACGGTTTGGATTGAGTCTGAGCTCATTATTCCATACATACATGTTTTTTGATATCCGTGATGAATCCCTGCACAACAAAAACATGGATTTGACAATGCGAAAGTCAGCTCTTGTTCATTGATCGTAACTCATTGATCGTAAATTTTACATGAGCGGTCACTTTTTTAATTTCGGGAGAATAGCACATCAATTGGTGATGGAAGCAGATACGCTTTTTCAGCTTTGGAAACTCACAGGTGACCTGCCTCCTGTGGCAACTTAGGAGTTCTTTTTGTCAGGCTTGCACAGAAACATTGAGCAGGCATTTTTGTGATGAGTATCAATGGTATTGTACAGAGCACCAGCGCGTTGAGATGGAGAAACATATCCAAGACTTGATATTGCGGGGGAGATGTTGACGGGGACGAGAAATGTGAAGCAGTGTAGGAAATCTAATGTAATTTCAATCCATGTTGCGCAGCAGCGTCATTGAGGTTCTCATAACAAGGAGTCGGTGTTTGTAGGGCATAAGGGAAACTGTATGAGCAGGCTGATAGCGTTGGGTTTCATCGACCCAAGTAGCTCGATGGATGACTCGGCCAAACTTTAGCAAGCTGTAGAGTGAAGTGTGCAGGAGAATGGGTATTTATACACGTTATAATTTCTCTTTCTTTGGTGACCATTTGCTAAGGCTTGTTGGTGGTCTTACTTGACTGACCGACGATGAGACTCGTGTCAAAAGCTGTGAAGTGGGCCGTTCTGACTACGGGCACTTGTTCCTTCAGACCAATTCCGCTTTTGCAACGGTCTTGATTCACCAGTTGTTTACAATCAAATGACCATGAAAGGTGGAATGGTTCATTGAGAGAAAGGCTCTAGATTTTTCTACTGCCGTCGGGACTCGACATAGGTATTCCCGTTTTCATCAGATTTCATTAGTTTGTTTGTTACACCTACAGGTTTCTTTCTGGTTTCGTGGTTACTATATCATTCCTTTCAGTCATCCATCAATTTCAAATAAGTAGGCATTTTAGTTTCCATAAATACTGCCTCCTTTCGAGCTGGCTCATGGTACGACAAAAACTTGGAGCAACAAATTGAAGCATGCCTGACAAATATGTCAGATTTTCACCAACACTTGATCCTTGTCTGAACCACTTGGTTGAAAATTCGCTAGGATATTTGTGGCGTATGTGGAAAAAAATTAGAAAAAAAAATCCAACTAATTGAATTGGTTTGATATGGTTTAATGTCTTGGTTGATTGTTTGTATTCCGGATCAGAAGAAAGATTAGAAGAAGAAGAAAAAGAATCTATTCAATCAAATGTTTACTTTTGAAGAACTTCCTCAAGTACCAGATCTGCCAAATTCCAGATGAAATTAAGACAGTTACGGTTAGGATTGCGAAATTCTTTACCCTGGCATTTGTTGATTCTATTAATTGTTTGTCCCAGTTTTTGTTTTATGATAATGGATTGCTTGATTAGATCCCGAACCGTAAAACAAGAGAAGACGAGAAGTGCAGTAAGGCTACGTACCGTTTGTATCCCTCATCTTGGCTTCTCTCCGTTTCAAGTAATTTAGTTCTTCGACAATTTCTTGTACGATTCCCTCGAGTTTCCTCATCTCAACTTCCAGGCCGGACAATGATTCAGCCTTAGCGATCGCGTTATAATCAACAGCATCTGCACCAATGTCGACATCGAAATCAATACTCCGTTTTTGAGGTGGACGGGCGGGATGGACATCTTGTATTGGATCGATCAAAGAGCAAGAGGATCAGTAAGCTGTTATCGGATCCGAGATTTCTGGACAGATCGACATAGGAATGATCAATTACGTGAGTCGAGTCGATTTGTGAAACAGACACCCAGATCGGCATCATTATGGGTAGTGATTGCTATTCGAGTCTCTCCTTGGAGATCTTTCTTAGATTGATAGACGTTCTTGTGGGTTGAGCCATCGATGACCTCGAGATCTACCTTCTGGTTTTCACCGTTTTCAATGTTGGTTGAGATGACGACCTGGATCAAGAAATATGCAATGTGAGATGTGAGTTAGATAAATCTGTGTGGTTAGGAGAGAATGCAAGTTCAAACTAACCAAAGTATCGGTCATAGCATAGTACCATATACAGTGTCTGATGATAGTCAGTTGATAATCGATCAGACACAGCCAATCTTGAATTTGATAACTAGATTCCAAATCCGTTCCACTCACGGTGTAGGTGAATGACTAGCGTGGAGGTCGAACTTGATAGACATGATGGTATTCGAGAGAAGGCCGATGGCCAAAACCAGGGTGGGCAGGCTTAGTAGCCTAGGGTGTCGAGCCAGCATAGTCTTGAGTTTTCAGTTGCGTGATGGAGAGTGAGGCAGACGGAGGAAAGCTTGGCAAGTTGTGGATGAGATCACAACAGATATTCAGTTGAGGCAGGCTTTCTTCGGCTTGGGTGAGCTATGTAGCGATGACGGGGCGGGCCAGATAGCCGGGGGCTAAGGGGCTTATTAGGTAATCAGCGCCCCCCACGAGTCCATACTGCATATCCATAATGCGCTTCGATCGGCCGAGAGCCAACCAAGGCATTTTTGGTTGACTTGAAATCATGGCTCTTCATGACACAGTGCACCTACAACTCAAAAACAAAAAACTCATAGCGACAGTAGAGAAGAGCTTTATTAGAATCGATTACGCAGCTAAGAACGTTGGTTTTGGGAGCAAGGGGGGAGGAAAACAGCAGTAGATTATTACACCAGAAGCCACGCAGAAAGTATGAGAAATAAAGGGGCGGAAAACCGGTTTGATGTTCAAACCTTAAGCAGGGATATCAACAGCGATGATAGACTCGGGTGCCAAATGAAGCAAGAAACTCAGGAGAACTACAGTATCGAGATCAATGAGTGAGACATTTGCGGCCCTTCGCCTTGCGTCTAAAGACGATCTTGCGACCGGTTTTGGTTTTCATCCTAGCTAAGAAGCCGTGTCTTCGTTTCCTCTTGAGCTGAGAAGGTTGGTAGGTATTTCCTCTCGATATAAATCGAATCCCGCCCAGAAGAAGGTTGAGCGATTGAGGGTTGAGACTGCCCTGGTGTTGTGGAGTCGGACAGATCATTCCGGAATCGATTATCGAAGACTCGCTCTGGGGTATCTTAGTTTGGCCAGTCAAATTGGTCCTCAATATCGATCTCGATCCACTGGCTTGGGTGAGCGGCGAAATCGACGATGAAAGCGAGTGGTAGTAGTTGTCTGTTGTTGAACGATTTCATGAATGAGAAAAAAGGTCGAATTGAATATGTCAATCTTCTAGAATCACACTCTTTAAACGTTTGATGAATTGGAGACTCGGGTTGAAAGAAGATACATGGCCACCCATTAGAATTGGATAACTCGGCTCAACTGACGATTGGAGAATGTCTTGTGACTAGGGCGAGTCAACTCGCTGAGTTTGGTTTGTCGAATCGCTCGATCCGAAAAGGAGCTTGATCGCGAAGTGAGAAGCGAGCGGAGAGAAGCCATGTCTGTTTCTTGACTCGTCCCGTAGTTCTTTATGTGTGTACCTGGTGGAGGATGTCGGCCTACAACCGATTCTAGCCGGCGGGTGGATGTGCCGTGCAAGGCTTGACGTCGGAGGCTCGAGCGGCTGCTGTGAAAGGACTGTAACACCTGAGTGTCAGGAAGATCCAATTCACAGCAATCAACAATCAAAGACCTCCTCAACTCCATCCATCCGCACACCTTCTCATGTTTAGTGAGAAAAATTCTTAATCCTACACCTGCAAACCACTCACAATCATCTGAAGAGTTTTTGGAGCTACCTTGTTTTTAGAACAGGTGCACACTGCAAACCAGCTTTTCCATCATGCTCCACATTCATTGGGCTGGTCAATTATGACAGTGAAAAATGGGGGGCTTGATGAGTCTTTTAATCTATTTTTCATGATCTACTACCTACATCCCTCACCTATTATTATACTATTGATGACTTAATAACAATCCATCAACCCCTGTATCCGCTTGAATACCACACAAATTCTTCTAGCTTGGCCTATGTGGGAGGGTAGCAGTCAATTTCAGGCCAACACAGCGCTTCTTGCAGTTTTTTAAGGTTGTAGAATAGAATTTCTGGAATGCAATGAGAAATTAAAGTAATATTCACATAGCAATATATTGCCTTCTGGTTTGGCAGGTTGTGGCAGGAAGTGATGCTCTATACAACAAAAGGAATGTGGAATCTTGGTTCTTTGTTTCAAAAAAAGAGTGGAGTTGGTAGCTAGATCCAGGATGGCTCCTACAAGATTTATGCAGAATTTACAATAGTTCATACTTCAAGTTTTGCAACATGCACTTCCGATGAAACACAAAAGGAGAATGGCCAATTGAGTGAAAGATTGTGAAACAACTCCTTTTATATTGGCAGCCCTAGAATCTCTGTACAATGAAAGGAATGCAAAATCTTGGTTCTTTGTTTCAAAAAAAAATTGGTATTGGTAGCTAGATTCAGGATGGCCCCTACAAGATTTATGCAGAATTTACAATAATTCATACTTCAAGTTTTGCCACATGCACTTGCAATGAAACACAAAAAGGAGAATGGCCAATTAAGTGAAAGATTGTGAAACAACTCCTTTTATATCGGCAGCCCTAGAATTTGCCTGCAAATCTTGACAGTCCTTTTGTGCTTGTGCTTCTGGTGTTGGAATTCTTTTTTTTGCGATGAATAATGCCAATTTCATAGTCAGTTTTTTTTTTTTTAATTTTGAGATTTTGGAAATTGACTGAACAAAGTGTATGCAAAATCTTGGATGCGGACAAGAAAATGCTTGTTTGAACTCACCTGGAAGTCTCATGTCACAGACTGGTAAATCAAAAGAGCAAATGGTAGGATCTTGAGTGACGTTGCTTTAAATAAAAAGAAAGAAAGAAGAAGATTAGCTTTGCTCCATTGAATTTGCATCAGTGATAAAATACAATGAACATCAAGCGTACTGGCGGTTCAAATCTGAGAGGCTCCCAACTGGGTTCTTTTGAATACCAAATCTTTGCTGGCATTCAAATGACACTTCCGCAATGTGCTCGGTAGAAATTCCATGTTTTTCAAACAAGGCATGGCCATTCTTGAAATCATTGATGGCCTTGGTTTTTCCTGGGACAGCTCTGATGATGTTCATGAGGCTGTTGATTTGGTAGTGATTGTCGAAATAGCAATTCAAAACTTAACGATGTGTTTTTTTCGAGAAGGAAAATTAAAGCAAATTCGCTCACGTTCCATTGGGACTATGGTAAGAGAGAACATCTTTGGAGTTCCATCGCTTGTTTGGATGGGGGTCCTAAAATATGAAAAAGACGATCTTTTAAATCGCCTCATTCCTTGGACAGGGAGCAAAAAGACTAACGTTCGAGATGGTAACAAAAGCATTCTGTGTATCAAATAAAGTTTGAATATTTTAGCAATAGTTGTGAAAAATCGTTGGCTGTTTGAATCAACTTACCATCGAGCGCAGTAATTTTGAGATGGCGATGGATTTGGTAACGTTCTTCAGGTTGGCCTGAATTTCAAACGTGTCCTTGCGCTCAAATGGACCCAAGAAGGTGCCATTGGCAAGAATCTGGCTTAAGCTGTAGGCTGGATCAGAGTTTATTCCAGAGCTGAATACCCTTGAAGTAGTGTTAGCAATTGCCCGTTCAGTCTCTCCTTGCCATTGGGATAATCGATAATTGAATTGTGACCACTTTGAAAAATAAAGAGCGTCATGGAAAGCATGTTTTGCTTGTTAGATGAGTTCGATAATCGACTCTAAGAGATTCTCGAGGGGAAAAATCAACCGACTGACATAGTCGAACTCCTTGGTTTGTAAAGGGCCGCTGCTGTCATGAGCTGCAAGGATTGATTGGCCCAACACGATTGCTAACAAAGAGGCGCACATCATCTGAGTGAACGGCATGTTGATTACTGACATAACCGCTAATGGCGCCGCGGTAAAGAGAAGTGCTGGATTGGGGATAAGCAGAAGGTAAAGAGCTCCAACCGCTTGGACTGTCGCCGCTACAACGGAAAGGCCAAAGACGGCCTCCAAGTCACTATGGTCCACCACAGCAGGAAATCTAGAGGGTCATTTTGAAAGGGATAATCAATTTCCTCCGTTCAACTTCGCCGGAATATTGAGGAGCGATATTGAAACCAAAGTTGCTGATGCTCACAAGTCATTCCAGACGGAAGCGATGGCATCTGAATATTTTTTTAAACATAATAATGAAAAAACAGCGGGCTCAGTAAGATGATTATAAGGGATACCCATCTGAAGTGCTGACTCTGGGTAAGAGAAATTGCCTCTCCGGCGACTTGATGTAATGTGTTGAGATATATGTTCAGATTTTGGGTAGCATAAAGAATATACCAATCTGGTGCCTTCACTGGACTACAAAGCTGATCGTTGATATGAGACAAGGCTACGTGAGTATGTGCTAATATCTTTATAACAGTTGGTTACCAGAAAGGTAGCTAAGGATTCTCAACGCACCTGCCCTATGTTACAATTTGCACCTGGCCATCAGAGTTGTGTGTTAGAATCAAGATCATCGAGGTTAAGGTTTTCTCAACGGGTATCATTTTTTCTTACCAATTCCACATCTGAAATTATCTGCGCCCTTGGAAGCAGCGTATGCCTGTTTGAAAAGCCAAAGGGAGAGGATCAGACTTCAGTCTAGAAGACTTTTGTGGTACACTTTGCTTCAAGAAAACATCACGAAAAGTGCTGCTTGTATTAATGCGTCGGATGGCTATCTCTGTTCCAGTTTTCTCCTTGTTCAATAGAGCAGAAAGCAGATGGCACGGCTTCACTTCCTCCTCTGTGCCACCCGGTAAATTTTCACAAACAGTGTTGGTTGATTGGATAAGGCTGATGAAAAAGCAAACCTGAGTAGTTAAGTTTGCCCCGTTTGGATAAGTCCGAAGATAATCATCCCAGTGGAACCTATTCCAAGTAGACTGATCGAGGGGATAAGGCGTGCAGTCGTCAGAAGTAGAGTTCACGGCTACTCCGTTGAGGGCCTGATTAGGGGTAGGTTGTGACGGTGTACTGGATCTGGAAGGGATATCAGAGCGTCGGACAATTGTATGCGCCAGGAAACCTGGTGTGGCGCCCAGGACCAAACCAATGACGAGGAAGGTTGGTGAGGTGCATTTCAAGGAGAGGCCAATCATTCGGGCAGCCCGAAATCGCGAAGTTGTTGGAAATAGTTGGCGGCTGGTGGATTGGGGTAAGTTGGAGAATGAAGACGTTGGAATGCTTCTATCTGATACTCTGTTGGTGCTCTATGCTCAGGTCAGGAATGACAACTTGATGGCAGAGAAAAAAGGAGCGTATAAGAAAGGAATGTAAGCTTTTCAGCATATAACGACTGGCAAGTTTGAGGAAAGGCTTGTAAGATTAAGAGGCCGGTAGATAAACTGATAACGGCAAATACAGCTGCTGTTTCGAGCGAATCAAACACCTCTTCGCGAAATCCCCCGCCGCAGAACTTGTATGTATGACGGCGGGTGCTAGCGCAAGTATCTGTCCTCAAGACATCATTATGTGAAACGAACAAACGCTCCAGCGATAAAAGAAATATGAGTCATTGCATATATGTGCTCGATAAAGTGTGTTTCAGCTTCTGATTTCTACGCTGGATGTTATCTTTTCGCTTCAAACGGTGCCTCCTCGTCCTGGTTTTCTCCAATTACGGGTCACGAGTTTTCGGGACAGGTACAGTTGTACAGAGGCCACAGGCTAGGGTCTTACTCTTAAGTGAACCACGACATGTCGGAACCAGTCGTGCAAACTTTCAGTATCATGATCAGCTATCAGCTTATCATGATTGATCACACCGCCAGCTATCGACAACTGATGGCGCAAAATACTGTGTCTCTTCTTAAATTCCTGCCCCCGGGTTGCGTGCGACTCATGCTGGGAAGCAATTTTTTGTTTGCATTTTAAATGAGCGAGCCGACACCCCATCATTCAAGGTAGAACAAGCCATGAGCGCTATCAGTATTCAAGTCATTATTTGACATGTCAAAAACTATAAGCATGTCCTTGTGGTGAGTTGCACATGTGTGGTGGATGACCTAGGGCTAGGAGTAGGCTATGAACCCAGGATAGCATTAGTACTTTGAACTTTCTCACTGAGAACTATCCTTACCACACAAATTTGCCACTTATTAATTGACCTCAACAAGGGTCAGAAAGTTGAGCAAGCTTGATCATGTCCCTGCCCACCTACAAAGCTCAACTTTTAGATCTCAATTTTTCCAATTTGGTATGAATCTGATGGCCAGACATTGGGCTTGAAAAATGAGTATCCCCACAGGAGCTTTGAGCTAACTGCTCGTATCTTGTAAGCCTGCTACCCAATTGTGCTTGTCAGGTTGATTATCTGACAAATGGACACTCTTACATCAACAACCACAGCAAAGACATATGTATTTGCCTTCATACCCTAATGTCCAAATGGATGCAACTTATCAATATTGATGGATTGCTTCAGAACATAGTCTGTGTACTGACCCATTGTTGGTGGGTCAGTTAAATTTACCCTAAAATGGCCCCAAATGTTTCTGGCTCAATAAGATGATAGAGTCTTTGGTTTTGGCTTTGTCAATCTGATATTGTTGATGCCCACAGGACTTACCAAGTCTGTGAAATAAGATGGTAGAAGGACAAGGCAAATATATTCCACATTGCACTAATGGGCTAGAGTAACTTCATACATGATTGTCAGACTGTGGCATGAGAATGAGGGAATGGGAAAACAACACTCACTACTCCAGCAGAAATGAAGAAGGGATGAAGATGGAAGAGGGTTAGAGGGGAATTGAGACATTTGAATGAAGAGGAGTGAATATGATAAAGAAGGTCAAGGGTGAATGATTGAAGATAATTGGCGAAAGTGGGGCAAGAGTCAAGTGGAAGGTCAGAAGATTATTGATATGATGATAGCTTGTGGGTTTCAAGCAAGATCACTGACATGGTCTACATACGCAAGACAAAGAGATAGAACTTCTTAAAGTGTCTATGACAAAGGTAGGCCAATAGATTCACCAGTATCGGTAGCATCTGTTAAATTGTTTTATATAGCTTTCACTACTGATACTCCTATTAGTAGCAAAGTATTGACCCAATTACATTCTCACTGAGATAGAGGAATATCAGCTTCCAATAATACTGGACTGCCTACACTATCTGTAGTGAAGCACAGGGTAATGGTCATCATTCTCACAGTGTTAATTTATGCACGCACTGAAATCAATTTTGATTCCGATTTTTACATCCAGGCTACAGGCATGTCTGTACAGGGGCTGGATCATAATTCTGGGCATTTTTTATCATAAACGGCTCTAAGCCGCCTCTAGCAAAGTTATGCTAGTAGCGCTGTAACAAAATCAATCGTTTGAAAAGAAAATGCGCCTGGTAATCGATTGCTGCATGTTTGATCTTGTGATGCGATTCAGAAATATCAAGAGATATGTCTGATTGGATCATTGCTTGAAGAACGAAAAACATGCAAAGAAATCAGATGGTCAACAACTAGATAAAAAATGATTAATTGTTCCCATAAACTTACCCTTAGCGGCGTCGGTCATGGGCATTGTTACCATTGCCTGGATCAGATCATGGGATATCGGCCTTCCCGCTCCTGGCAAGCCCTTCTTGTCGCTCCCGCTTTCCTTTCCTGACCCTCTGGCGTTTTTTAGATTTGTTTTTTTGCCGGGTAGTTTTTTTGGATTCGGAGTTAGGATCTTCTTGGCTAGCAGATTTGAGACTGTGAGAGCTTGATTTTTCCTCCTCAGATTGAGTACGTTTCACCAACTTTCGTTTCTTTCGTTTCTGTTTTTTATTGGGTTGAACGTAGCCTGCTGGGACGACCGGAGGTGGGCCGATGAGGGCGTCAATCAGTTCGATCACTTCTGATGCATCAGGCGACAGTGAAGTATGAGGGGGCGGATTATGGATAAAGTCTTTGTAACGAGCTAGCCTGCGCGTATGAGCCTTCAAAGACAAAGATGCTGGTTAGTCCGTGACGGTGAAGCGAAGATCGAAACAGACATTAAGTCCAGACGATTACCTGACCCTTCACGTGCTCCTCAAGCAACTTGTCTGTCTTGAGAATTTTTCCGGGGCAAACCAGGCAAATGGGAAATGCCTTTGTTTGAGCTTGGGAGTGATGAGTGGATTGCTTGTTTGATGTAGATCCTTCGCTATCACTGGCATCAGCAGATTCCGAATCCTCGTGATCTGTGCCATCATCGTCGCCGGGATAGATAATCGGGTTGTCCAAAACTTCTAGTAGGCTTTCTGGAATCCTCGCACCTCGCTTTTTTCTTTTTCCGTCATCCGTCTCCGCTTCATCGGAATCTGAGCTTGGTTGATCTTCTTCTCCGCTGCCTTCAGAAGATTGCTCTTGACTGGCTGTCGACGAGTCTGAATCTGAATCCGAATCCGATGAGGAATCTGAGTCGGATCCAGCTGTCGGTAAGCTCCCAGGATGGGTTTTCGAGAACTTTTGTCGCTTTTGGAGGTGTCTGAACATTTTTTGGTCGAGTGATGGTTGGTCGAGCGTTGGGTCTTGGCGAGGCCCCGAAGAAACCAGCGATCCAGTTTAGCTCGGGGTAGGGGAGGGCGTCGGGGGATCCCCGTCCAGAGTCCAGGCTCCATGTGACCGCCCCAGGGACCGAGCAGCGTGACGGTCTGAGGAGGCGCCGGGTCGATCTGTCGGGCCGGTCCCGCAACCCAGACAGAGCCGAGGGGCAGAACTGGCCGAACGAAATCGGTCTGCGAACTATGAGGACGACTCCGGTCACTGCTAGTAGCTGGCAATCGTGATAATTTTGAACCAAATGACCGGATTGAAAAATGATTGTTTTGTCCAGCACATAGGAAGGAGGGTATCTTGGCGATGAAATTTATCCAACCTTTGCATTGATTGTCCATAACTAGCTGACAGAAAACAGATTATGGGTAAGCTTGGTCTATCCATTTCTACAAAACATGGACACCAGTACTGATCTGACATGGATAAGCCAATGTCAGCTATCAAACGTGACCTTGGGCCCTACGACAAGAAACTCTTGGCGCACATGCCAGTGTGAATGTGATGAGGATACCTCTACGTACATGGCCCAGTGCTACGTGCTTGAAGTTCCTTGAAAGATGTTCCAAATTTAAGATTTCCACAAGGAAATCAAGTGGGAAAGGGCTCAGAACAACGCTTTACTGAAAGTCCGTAACACTTATAACCCATATGGGCTGCCCCGGGCGACCCGCCGAGGCACAAATTTTCTATCACTGATTTCAGGTCAGTGATCACAAGGAACACGCATTCCCTCGACTTGTATAACCCAGCTGAGCAGGCTCCAAGTGTGATATGAGCCACTTCAATGTGCTCCTGGAAACGTAATGTTAGACACTTCTAACATGAAGTTGTGCACAATTTCCCGGTGAATCAGGTGGTATGTATGCCTGTGGCTATAATCCTGCCTAAGTGTAGTCCCGAGGTTAGGCTTGAGGGGGAAATGCATTTTGATTTGAGGTCAACAACACCATTTGGACTCGGAGTGATATGGTAGACATAGGATTGTTGACGGGCCACGGCAATGTCCAAATGGTTGTTTGGACTGTTTGTCCTCCGACATTATGAGATTCTCCTCGATGGGCGTTGTTCAGCTCCTTGGTCCTTGATGCTCGTGGATGTGAGCTAGGCTCACTCAATCATTGACTTTCTGAATTTCCTGGTTAGACCAAGAAAGTGACTCGTCCATCCGGAGCCGCCCAAAACTTAAGGTCCAGAACTCTAACGGAAGACTCAAAAATCATCAAGATGAGCTGCACCACCCTGGCAGGTTTTAAACAACACTGATTGGACCACTACAGTCCGCTCCAGCCCACTCAGAGGTCTTTTCGCAATTTCAGGGCTCTCTGGAGAAACTGATTTACAGCTGATTTCCTGGATGACCAGGCCTGTGCTTTTCTTGTTTGCCAAATATAAAGTCACTTGAGCCCTGCATCACTTTCCTTTGTCCCAAGTACCGTTCCCCAAACTTCAACCCGTCCCCCAACCTGCACTCACCTCCCTACCTTTTCGAGAGGTATATATCCTGACTGCATCAAAAGACTTCAAATTCTTAAACAGTGTTTTCTGCATTTAGTAATCCTCGGTCAGGCTCGCCTTTGTTCCCAGTCATCCTCGTTTTCCCGCACAACTTCTTCGGTCTTCTCGTCTTTTGTGCAGATAGCCACCGGCACCAGGAGTGTGGTCAACTACTACCTTTGTTCAAGCTTCAACTAAAAGATATTTACATACATCCAATCCCGGTAGGGTAGGCGGACGCTCAGTTGCAATTTTGTGGTTGTGATCATCAAGCGGCTGTCATCTCAACCAACAGGCAGGTCGAGCGAAGCAACGCAACACCTATCGCAAATTCGTCAACTCAAGTATGCCAGCTACTCGCTCCCATTGTCAAAATCCTATATCTTCCGCTAATCTAGAGCCCAATCAGGTTGATTGTCAGTCCAGCATGGAGCTCATGGTAAGTAGTATAACCACGTGTGCGGCGAGTTTTCTTTCACCAGCGAACCTGGTGCCATTGCGCTAACACATGACTTTCCTTGGTCATGTCCGCATGAGTTAATGGTGGTGAATCGTATAACATGTTCATGCTAACCATTATTTTGTTTCCTTCTTTTTGGTACATGTATTTATTAGTTGCCGTCGGACGAAGACTGTATCCCTGCTTCCGTTCCGAGTAACAACTCAGTCCCAACAGCTCGTAATCGAAAGATACCTAACCACCTAGTGCTCAGCCCACCTTCAACTTTCTTGGACTCGTGAGAAATTTCTTCAGGCTTTTCTTTCCTTTTTTCCACCTCATCAAAATTTCCGGAAAGTGATTTGCTTCAGGAGTCAGGAGAAATCAAGTCACTAGTCATTTGTAGTATTTATTTCTCCGACTCAGGGATTCAGTCTACATGAGTATCATGAACCTTGATGCTTAACCCATGCTCTGTGTTGACATTCCAAAGCTTTAACACCATATTTATTACGCCGTCACCACCATCCCCTCACATTCATCCTCTTGCTTCTAAAACAGTGTTTTACTGACTCGCGTGCCCTTCTCTTGACTGCTTCTTAGTCAGCTGAAGATTCAGCTCACACAACCGAACGAACCTGACGTGCCAGGAGACATGATGATACCCAACCAGCCTACCTTGCAACAGGGTCAAGAAGCACCTCAGACAAAGTCCGCATATCACGTCAAAATGGGAAACCGCTACTCGTGCCCACGTACTCCGTTGAGATCAGCGGGCTCTAGCTCTGGCCTTACCCCAACCATTAATCGATGGCGACATAGTGGAACGGAATCTGAGTCCAGCAATCGTTCTCCAAGCATACCTGATTTTACTCAAAATGATTTCGGACACTCTGTCGATGGGTTCAATTCGCTTCTCTCTTTATCTTTCTCCGGGAGCCCCAATTCGGATCAGAATGGCAAGTCAGGTTCTTTTTCTACGCCCACGACTCTCAGCCCAGAATCTTGTCCTAGTGAGGCTGGCTCGATGTACTCGAATGATTCATACCAAGGTCAAAGAAGCCAAGACCAGGAAACTTCACAACAGTTCACACATGCACCCAGTCCTATCATTGCCTCTCCTTCATGCGCTCCTACTCGTGATCCTTCCAACAAATCCACAAGAGCATCTCCGTTGATCAGAAATAATCGCAGTCGGACTGCGTCAATAGCAGTCACACCCTCCCTAGTGACTGAGCCTACCAAGACTATTCAAGCCAGGCGTTCAATCGGCCAAATGTTGTTATTCCGTCGTCCCTCGCAACTCAGAGGTGATGATTGTATTGACGGTCAAAATTGTGATTTACAACCGCAAGAAGAAGAAAAAGAAGAGTTGCAAACTTGTGTTGGCAGCGACACCTCAGTCACCAGTACGAACTACTTTGGGGACCTAGGTAGAGCTTCCCATTCACTGAACCGCGGGTTCAATTCAATGGACGATATCCATGCGTACGTAAACTTGACTTCCGCTCGATCATCTACCGCGAAAGCATACATCTGGTTGATGATGTTGGTTCCCTCCTCTTCGCTAGCAGGCATCAGTTCGTAAAAGATGGTAGCCAGCCATCTAACGAAGAGTCGAACACTCCTGGAAAATTTTCACACTCTCCTACTCCGCACCTGTCCCACGAGGATTATTCTACTCAGCAGACCAATAACTCCGCAGGAGCGAGTACGAGTGCACATCGCCCCAAAGGCTTGCTGAAATTGGTTAAAAGGTATGCAAGTACTTCATTTAGAATCTGCTTCTCAATGAGTAGTTTGTCACATCGAAACAGTAGAGCTTATCATATCTTATCTTGAACTCCGCCGTACGCCAAGCCAATCGAGTCTGCGAGAAGCTTTTTTTGGCGCAAAACGATCTCAAAGAAGCCAAAGCGTTCAATTAGATCGGATCGCTACCAACGGCTTGCCGAATTTCACTCAGGTGCCTCACTCAAGCCATAAAGTGGCGTCTACTCCAGGCGATCAACCCACTGTTAATGCGCCAAGAAGCAGCTCTGAAAGCTGGCAAGGTTCTTTCTCAACTTACCAGATGGGAAAATCCGTCAACCCCGACCCGAAGATCGAGGTTCCACTGGAGAGGAAAGATGATAACGCAGAGCACCATCCGAAACGAGGAAGTATTCATCAATCAGCCGCATTGAACATCTTTAAGTTCTGGAAGAAGAAGAGCAAGAATGATGAACCAGTCAAACCGATTTCTAACAAGACAGAGCCTCTTGAAAAAATCAACAAGAAGAGAGATATGAAAAAGAGCGGGACGATGAAGGGTGGCCGCCCTTCTGTGCGGATTGAACAAATCTCATCACCAATCTTGAGCCAATCTGTAGGGTCGAGAAATAACAGTATTAACACACGTCCCTTGTTGTTGAGTCCGAAATTCAAGGATAGTGATCCGAAGTCTTATAACCACAAGCCTTCCGGTGACAAAGAAGATACTCTCATGCACAATTCGCCTCTCTCTCCGAGTTCGTTCGCCGACAAAGAGTCAGTCCTCAACATCAAATTTTTGCATACCTTATTCTTTGGCACAATACATGACATTAACATAGCGCCCAATTTTCTTGCAAACAATTTAGTTTGACCGTAGTTTCTCTCATGGAATCTGCCCAAATCCAAAACTTCACTCAGGCTTCAAATGTCAGTAAAGCAGACCCCCATCTGCTAAACAACATTACTGATCTTGTTCCTCATTTTCTCCAGCTTCATCTCCCTAAACCTCCACGACCGCCAAGGAGAAGACCAGTGATGATGGCAACCTTGTGAAACTCACCCTTCTTGAACATCTTGTGAACTCTCTGATATGACCCTTCTTGAACCTTTTTGTTTCGTTCTCCTTTTGTCCAAAATGGCTTCTCTGAATTTTACCAATCCCTCAATGTCTCTTACCCACAATCAGTACTAGTGCCCCCCTCCACGTTTCTTATTCGAAATCTTGTAGGATAACCCAATGAGGGCCTCTTCATACTGTTTTCGGTCTTTCTTTCTTTCTTTCTATGCTTCTCGTGAAAATTAAGTCAAAATTGTATGTAGATTGCAAACATCATATATTGAAAACTACAAAAGCATAAAGAAAATATATAATGTAGATATAGAAGTTTACCCCAGGCTCACATAGTGGAGGACTTCCTGTGGGCTTTACAGGCCTTGTAAAGCTAGATTTACAGGCTGTAGAGCTACTTTTTCGCTGGGGACGCGGTCTTACAGCCTGCAAAAATAGTCTTACAGGGGGCTGTAGAATGGACGGGAAGTCTTCAAGTCTCTGAGCTTTACGGATTCTCCTTGAATGAGCCCGTTCTTAAGTACGAAAAGTTTTAAGAAGTTCTACCAAATCATTATGATCAGATTTCGGGTTGGGTTTCATTTTATCCAGCGTCGCCTGGGTCACGTTGCTGTGGGATTGCTGCGGCGGGGTTGTAAGCTGTGACAGGCTGTCCGTTACCATCCGATCCTGTCACTCCACAGCCCCCACCCAACAGCCATCGACAACAGCAATCAACTCGTCATCCATCAACAAGCCTGATATCACTCAAACCGGGTCCAAAGTCAGTAGCAATCTCTCCTGGAAAACTCCTGCACGATTTAAGACCTTCGTATTCTGGCTGGTGGTGTCGTTCTAACCTCATTCGCATTGGCCCCTTTGTTCAGACTCCATCCCCAAAGTTCGTCATGGCTATCGCTCCCATCACTGGAAAACTCAGGAAGCGCATCTTGCTCGACCTCTCGGTCTCCTTGGGATTGGGCACCGCCGCTGCTTACACTTGGTGGTACGATTCAGACATACTCAGCTCCAGTCCGAAAAGTGAATGACTGATTTGTGTGCTTGTTTTGGCTTGTTTACATCATAGGTATGGTTATCACGTCCCCAAAAGTAAGTCTATCGTCGGGTCTTGAAATCAAATCGAATTTTCCCCTCTTCATCAAAAGGACGACCCCGTATTGATTTTTATTTTTTTAATTTTATTTTTTTTGATATTTGATTTTGTAGTGCGTCATCAACAGAACGTATACGCCAAAATCAACTCGACCCGAGCCGAGCAGGAGTCTTGACGGCCAAAGCCCAGCGACAGTATAGCGTATCAGTAGTGTCGGTAGATTTTAGAGTCTTCAAGCCATCTTTCTCATGTAATTCAGCACAGAGCCCGTTGCATCAATTGCTTGCCCCTCCTTTCGACCTGAAATCCCGAAAGAGATCATCATGAGAGTACAATTACCCACCATGGGAGCTTCATTGCGGGACTGAACTAAATCTAGGTGCCTTGAGCTTCACCATTGAATGCACTAGAGCCGCTCCTCAAGTAGGAAAATCTCTCTAGGAAGCCCCCAGATTTAGGACGACATAGCTCCCCATTTAACTCCTTTCCCTCGACACATCGCAGCCGCAACCTTTCATACACAACCCCACCCCCGATATCCACAACCAGCCTCATGAATATCAGCCGGTAGAACCCAACAATGACAAACTGTCCTCGATGACCGGTATATACTGGTCATCGAGAGTACGGACTCGCCTCGGCGATAGAAACACATCGCTCATCGAGAGAAGTTGATGGCTGGTACACATCGGCCAATGAGAGCAGTACAGATCCAGGGGCATTTGAGGGACACTTTGATCTAAAAGTTTAGTGAGATAAATGTCAAGGACTTCATGAGAATATCTGAAGCGGGGCATTTAGTAAGATTCAACATCAAGAATTGATCATAGGGATAGTTGCTTGGCCACCCGGAAAGGAGTGGCGAGAGAGAATATCTTAACTACAGAGGAATGGGAATCAGACCAAAACAGAAGCCAATGATCAAGAGAGAAGAAATCATGGCTTGAGGGGCATCAACTCAGTCCGGATAGAAATGCATAAGCAGTCTGAGCTGTCCAAGAGGCGTTGCAAACATAAGTACTGAGACTAGTTTAAGAGTTGAATTTGTGCACATTATCTTTTTCTTCTTATTTTCTTTTACACATTTTACTGCAAAAAATGTTCATATCAAGTAGTAGGTATATTTAGCTAGCAATTATACTATGTAGAACAATCAACACAACAAACAACTTAAATTACATCATATCATTCAACAAACATGTATGGATCTACACCTAATAATATATAATCACAACAGTTTTAGATGTTCATTTTTCTTTTTTTTTGAACACATAAGAATGATTAAAAATAAAGGTTTGAAAATATGTGTGTGAACGAAGAGAAAAACAAAAACCCCTAGTATATAAATAAAAAAAAGAAAAAAGTCATATTTATATAATTACTTGGCCATCCACACACATAAATAAACACATAAAACACACAAAAAAAAGAGACAGATAAGATAAGGATAAATACAAGACTGATCATATGTCCCAGGGGGTCTAGAGAAAAAGGAAAGAAATGAAGGCCTAGTCACCTGCCATTCCCCCTCCCAAGAAAAAAGCGGTTGAGAGGGGATGTTAACTGTTTGGAGGATGAACGGCGCCACTGAGTCGTTTCAGCAAGTCCGACGCGGCGACAGAGGAGGAAGAAGAGGGGGACTGAACAGACGGAAGCGTGTTGGCATGAGAAGAAGAAGGAGGCGGATGAGGAGGAGGGGGAAGAGAGGAAGAGGAAGGGATGGACGGAGGATTGCTAAGTGACTCTTTCCTACGTCTCCAAGCCGAGAAGAATCCCGACCCAGTCAATCCCCCAGTCGCGGTGGCTCCAACGGATGAAGGACTAGCCAGGATGACGGATTGTTGATTGTGATGTTGGTGGTGGTTATGGGTGACGGGTGAGGATCGAGAGGGCTCAGGGATAGTCTGTGCCTCGAGCCTATTGATGGGTGTGTGAGGGGGATGGCCTATAATGAGCGCCGATCCGGAGGAGCTGCCGACGCTGTTCTGGCTTCCACTTGCACCCGCTGATCCTGATGGACCACCACCGGCAGAATGATGGATGGAAGAGATAGGATAGTTGTTGGTCGGACTCGAGAAACTCAGTCGACGCCTCGCGATCTCAAACATGCTCATTCCCCCGGGCGACCCCCCGGAGCGAGGCTTGATGATCTGCGCCAGTCCGGTCACCTGTTGTTCGCTACCCCCACTGGGCGAGCGAGAAGGATGAATCGAGGTGGGGTCCTTCTCCATCGAGGTGAACGTAGTCGACACGGTGGATGGGCCCTTACTGGATGGCGAGCCAGACATCAGTAAGGCCTTGACGGCCGGATTAAGATTTACAGAGGAGGCGATCGAGGGCGCGCGACTGGAGGAACGGGAGGCGTTGTGCGCCTTGGGGACCGGCCTTAAGCGGGGCTTCGACGGGGGTTGGAAAGCGCCTGGCATTTTACGCGGGGCTGAGGAGGATGATGAGGGGCTGGCATGGGAGAGACTGGCCAGGAAAGCCGGTCGAGCAGATTCCGAAGGCTTGAATTCTGGCGCGCCCTCGATCGATGCGTTGTCAGTCTCGGTGAGCGGCCGTAGTGGTGAATGACTCGATGCGGGCACCGCGCCAAGTGGCGACTTCTGGTACGTCTTCAGACTGAGTGTGAGCCCGGAAAGGCTACTTCTAGTCGGGATGATCGATGAACTCAGACTAGTCCGGAAGGGCGAGTCGGAAGAGGGTTCAGTTGCCCCAGGAGAAGAGGCACGATCGATGACGGTGTATTCCGATTGGGTAAGATCGACGTTAGAACTGGCTTGGGTATTCGAAGTCGAATCAAGAGGATCTGATGAAGGCTTAGTTATCTCTGATGCTCCACTATGGCCCTCTTCAACTCGAGCAGAGGATGTGATGGGTTGAGGGGTATTATCTGCCTCGGCAACAAAACTTCGTCTTTTTGAGAGTGCGGAGCTGGCGGCTTGAGGTGCAGTCTGTGAAGGTAGGGTCGTCGATCTCATCTGGTTCTGCATCTTGGGCCGGGCAGGACTATCGCCCCCGATCATCGATTGTGCCATTTTCCGTGAAGTTTTCTCAACACTCCAGGGCTCAACTTCCAACAGGAAATATCGTGTCCCGGCTGGAAGCTGGTATGGATTTGTTTCTGGCTCCTACGTTGCGAATCGTCAGAAGAAACCAAATTTCAACATCTGTCAACCCCGGGTAGACGCAACGAGATGAGATTTGGGAGGGAGGGGGGGGGCTCACCTTGGGATCGACCATCTTTTCAGTGAGCGAAACGATTCTAGCTACCAACCACTCACGAGATTTGATAATAGGGGCCACCGTTTCATTTGCTTGTAGAAAGTAATGTGGAAAGCTGACATTAAAAGCTGCCCAGACTTGAGCCGAGGGATTTCGGGTGGGTAAGAATAAGGCCAAGTCACCCTTTGCAAAGCTGCCATGAAATGCGTTATGATCAGTAAGAATAAACAACTCGGATGATTTCCATGTGTAGATAATGAACTGACTCTCTGAATGTAATCTTGACTTGAGCTTGCTCCTGGGACCGATTGGCCCGTTCTCGATAGCCTTTGCAATCTTTCATCCATTTACGAATCGAGCCTGACAGTTGATCGAGCTTCTGGTGAACCAGGTCGACCATCGATTCATGATCGAATTGCAACAGGCTTTGGAGGAGGGCCTCGAACTCGGGAGACAAAGGTGATGGTAACTCTTCTTCTTCTTCTCTGACACAATTCGAGCCTGGGTCAACGCCGGCTGGGCTATCTGAACCCGTAGCTTCTCCGGTTGGGTGTGATGCATTACTTGCACCGGGCGTCACGGCAGACTTTTGGCTAGAGCCTGGCCGGGGCATGTTGATGATCTTATTCTTGACGGTCCGATGGACCTTCTGATAGCTTTTCAAGGCCTGGACAGCGTTGCGACAATGATTCTCCAAGCACGAAGTCGCTGTCATAGTCTCGTCCTTCCACCGAGATTCAGCGGCCGTATGAGCTTCGGCAAGTAATTTAGACTGTTGAGTGATGTGACCTATTTCGATTTCCTGCTGGGTAACCTTGTTTTGCAGATTACAGTTTTGTTGTTTTTCGTCTTCCAGTCGCGCTTTGAGCTCTGAAATCTCTTTTTCCATGCGTTCCCTCAGTTCTTCTGCTTCAGATGCGCGACTCGCCATCAGTTTAGTTTGATCTTCAACTTGACTAGACAGTGTTTGATTACGACTCTGACAATCAGCAAGCCCCCTTTCCAACTCAGTACACCGATCACGTGATTGCTGGAGTCGGTTCAATACAATCTCATGGTCCGAGACGTGGTCTCGATGACGAGCCTCGAGATCATGTAGCTCTCGAGTTGCATCATCCGCCGTCGCCCTTGCCGAAGTCACCTGCCTTTCTGTGTCTTGTAATGATTTAGTTCGAGATTTCAGTTCGTCTTCCAGTTGACCGATCCGCTCGTTCAATCTTTCAATTGTCTCGCTGGCATTGGCAAGCTCCGTGATCAATGGTTGTTGATCCTGGGTGAGTCTTTCCTTCTCGTGACGGGCCTCTTCCTTGACGCTCAACAACTGCAATTTGAGGTCTTCAGTTTTTCGAATGTGTATCTGAGTCTCTTGTTGGGCTTTCCGGGAGGCGGTGATAGCTGCGGTGCTTTCGGCTCGAAGTCGTTCTGTCAGGTTTGCTTGGGTGGCTTCCAGCTCAGCTACACGAGCCTTCAATTGTGATACTTCTTCTGCGTCAACAGGTTGGCCAGCTATGCATGATTCACTCTCTGACATCACTGAACAAACAAACCAGACGCGAACGGATAGTCCATTAAGTTGCAATCATTTTTTTACATCAGCTGAGTAAATGAATGACAAACCAAATTTTTCGACAGCGGCTGCAAAGGCATTTTCCATGGCTTCGAGTCGGCTGAATTGCTTCTCAACCAACAGCCGAACCTCTCGGGCAGGGACTTTGGGCGAGTAATTATCTGTTGAAGAGTTATCAGATGAATCCTCGATGTTTTGTAGTCCAGCGACCAGCTCTGCGACGTTCAGGAGAGGAGAGAGTAAGCAGAACGGATCGAAATGGGCTAGCTAATCACACCTTACCGTCTACATCCGCTCTTGTCAGAGGGGGTAAGTCGGCCCCTGTAATTGGCGTGGCCTTGCTGCTGGTGTCCTTTGATTTAGGCACGATCGCCCCACCTCCACCGATGTATCGGATCTCGAATTCGATCGTCGGCACACTCTTGTCATCAAGTCCCTCAACCGCAAAGGGCAATTTTCCTGCATATTCGGTGCGATAGACTCCTCTCCGTCTACGTTCATCATTCGCAAGTTTAGAGACTAGGTTATTGAGGGCCGAGGCGTAATCTGCCAGATGGCGAGCTGGAACGATAAACATTTACTTCAGCATTAGATAAAATAGCATAAAGGCTCATAGATCTGACCATATTCGCGTCGCCGTACCACCTCTACTACTGTCGAGGCATAAGCCGTGACGAAATCTTTAAGCCGAGCCAGATAACGAAACGGATCTGTACGAGTTTTCAGATCGCTATTCAGAGCTTGAAGTTCGACACCGATACTTGGGATGATACTCTGTAGTCGAGAGATCTGATTCAAGCCATCGACGAGGTAGTGAAGCCAAAAGTTCTAAAGATACAAAAAAAATGGAATTTAAAGAAATACTTTTTTTCAGGTAGAAGAGTGATAAAACCTGACTCCTACCTTGCGTTCAATCAAACAAGCTATCCGCTCTCTTGAATCTTCATCAAGAACAATTAGCTCATTAAAACAGTCGATTAAGCCGTCGATCGGATCGACGTCTCTAGCAAGTTGTGCGATCTGAGCCGTCAGGTCCTCGATCCTCCGAAAGCCATCATCGGCATCCTTCTCCAATTCGTATAGATCATCCAGATCACAATCTCCCCCGTTCAGTTCTTCTCTCAGTTTGGTTGCCCCCTCGTTTACCTCCGTCGACCGAGCACGGATCATCTCAAATCTATTCCGAAAATCCTCTGTGAATGCAGACGAAATTCAGCTAGTATTTCTAATGATTCAGAGTGAAAGGGAGGGGGAGAGAAGACTGACCGTAGACTTTCAGACATTTGTCCCTTATCTGTAGGATCTTGTCCTCCATCACATAATCGCCCATGTATTTCACTTTCATCATCCCGGTGGAGGTGGTAGTAGCATTAGTAGCAGTATTGCTGACTGACTGACTCGAATTAGATTTGAGGAGGGCGTTGGAGGGTAGAAGTGCGGGATGGATCTTGACCCTCTTAGCGAGAGCAAAGGAGGGTCCGAAGGCCTCGAGCAGTTGGCCATAGTCTTGTACGAGTGGTTGAGCGAAGGTTTCGTAGGCTTCGAGCGCTCCCTGAGGGGGTTCTCGACACTTATCGAGGTTGTTGAGGGCGACTTCGAGTGCGGATTTTTGTGCGCGGACGTGAGTGAGCAGGAGCAGGCTAGTCCGGAGATGGTTTGCGCCGACCTGATGATAGTTGAGTGTGAGTTGCTCGAGCTCTTCTGGATCTAGATGGGTGGTGTTGTTGGGTTCGAATGGTGGTGGTTTGAGTTGGAGTAGATGTTCGGGCTGACAGGCGAGTGCGTTGAGTGCCTCTGATGGATCGGCTGAGAGAAATTGTCTGTCGAAGGCGTAGAGTAGGGTATCAGAGCTGTTGGATGATGATTGGTCTTGAGTTGATTGGTGGATGATTGAGTTGAGTAAGTTCTGGGTGAGTTGTGATCCTAGTGGGTTCATGAGTATGATCTGGCTGGCTTCGATCTGGATGGTCTCTGCGATAAGCTGGAAGAAGGCCGCGAGACTGGATGGATGGGATGAGTTAGTATGTATGGAGAGCTGGTTCTTCTGATATGATGCAGGGTTTGCTTACCCATCGATGGCCTGGAGATGCTGTTGACTGAATTCGAATGCGACCCCATCGTGTGCTCTGATGAGTCTCATCCTCTTCTTGGTTGTGTTTGTTTGTAGTTGGTTCTGGTTGGAATGTCAGTGTCTGGGATGATGGATGGGGGATAAATAGTTGGCAGTGCGACCTACATACTCTCACCTTCACAGCAACAAAGGAAACAACAACCACCACCTCAGAATTCAAACCACATCAATTGTACATACATAGTCTTCTTTCCTCGACAACTCACACTAACCAAGAACTCACTAGCATAAGCTTCCCATATGTACATACAGACATAGATTCAGAATTCTGTGCCCATTGAAAACCCCTTCAACACAGCTCATACATAATCAACCAACCAACGGGCTCAGCAGTACCTGCTATGCTCCACGTACTTCTAGCCCAAGTACAATACACGTAACATGGATCAGAACACTTTCAGAGGAGATATTTGAGATTTTCAAAGGAGAATAATATCAAGATTATCAATAAATTGATCGTGCAAGCGAAAAAAAAAGAGTAACAGCTCTAAGAGGGTCAATGAGGGTACATAGGTATACAATATTCGCAGGAACAAAGGGTCAGATCAAGTGAGAACAATGGCTATTAGTAAGATGGTAAGAATGATGATCAAGATCAAGATCGTCCAACTAGACTTAGAATCTGTGCACCGTATCGACCAAAGAAAGAAATGATTCACATAATATTTGTGTGTAGAGAGAGGAGAAGAAGAAGAACCAGGCAAGATATCGTCAGGAGGATCATTGATCAGTGAGAAAAGGGGCACCAAAAAAAAAAACACTCAACTCTTGTTTTCTTCGACGAATCGGTTGAGTTTGCGGTTGGCTTTAGATAACCTGGATTCGGTGTGATCGATCTGTCCATCGAGCTCATCCAACATCCTAAGTACACGCACACGGATCGATAACAATATGCGAACAAAGCTGAGTGAGCTAGAAAATAGGCAAGTTATCTTGAAGGAATAAATCCAAAACGGAGCAAAGAACAAACACGTTTTGTTCCGACATCTCTTGGCCCATCAGACTCGCTTGCTCTCTCAGCACACCCACCACTCCCGAAATCGTCCCTAACGTTTGATCTTGTTGTTTCATGATCATCTAATTATAAACGCACACACGGAATCAAATTCAGATCTCTCCCCAAAGAAGGCTGTTTCTCTCTACGCTTGACAGACGGACTGACCGACTCTTGTTGATGGTAGAACTCTTCAGTATCATCTTGGGCCTCTCGTTGAGATTCTAGATCGTCTCGGAACTGGGGCCGGCTCTCGGCCGGGTTACGAGATCGCTTCTGACGATCCTCGTGATTCCGAGACTGAGAACGACTAGCCGTCCTGCCTCCAGATTTCCGATCCGTGGGCGATATGGGGGAGGGGAGTAGAGGATGATAGCTCGATGGTACTGGGTTGGAGCCCAGGGGCATCTCGACAGTCTCTTTCATTGCCTATAAGAATTGGAACAATGCGCACAAATTTTTCAAAGGATCACTAATCAAGGGATCGATCCATCAGATGAGGAGGATTGCGCACTTGGACTTGCTGTTGAACTTCGACCAGCCATGCTCTTCTTTTCTTGACCTCGTCGAGGCTGACGCCGAACTTGGATTTATTGAGATGATTGTTTTTCTTTGAAGACGTGGGGGAGGAGGAAGAGGAGGGGGAGAGGTCTTGTTCGAGGACACGGACGACATGGTCGAGCTCCGATATATCATAGATAAGTGTCGACAGGGTCGCCTTCAGCTCGGTCCGGGTACTGCTTAGCTCCTCGGATGTTGGGCGGGATTCGGGAGGAAGGGTGAGGAGGATTCGGTTGTATGATGAATGTAATGCAGCTGCTGAAAGAAGTGAGGATTCTACTTCACTTTTGTTGAGCAAGCAGAAATGCAAATCGTTAGGCTTCCCATTCGTATCATCGTAGTCAACTGGAAAAACAAAAACAAAAAATACTGACGCCCTGACCTCAAAGTAAGGATCGTTCTTGCTCATCCTGATGGTTCAACTGGCTCTTTTCTTTTTCTTTTTCTAAAATTCACCATTCCCTTGGCTTCATCATCAGCAGCGGCTTTTTGTGATTCTTTTTCCTCACCAATCAGTTGCACGGTCCCAAACTTCCAGTCGAATTCGATCGATCTCCGTGTCTTCCTTGAAATCTTTTCCTGGGATCGTGCTTGATTCTTGCACTGATATGTATTCGAATCGAAGTCTCTGCTATGTTTGTGGTTGATCGGATTCGGAGTCTTCCTGTTTCCTGTTTGAGTGATGCTCGAAATTTCCAAGTTGCACAGCAGGAGTGGTGTGGCAGCTGGAAATGTCTCTCAGCTGTCACCGATCGACTCTGTCACCTCAGAGTCAGGCTGTCAATGGCCTCGGCCTATGTAGGGTTTATTTTTTTTTTTTTTTTTTTTTTAAGTGCTATTGATTTCACATATTGTGTTTTGAAGAATGCTTGGACAGATTCACAGCATCTTCACTTGAAAATCCTGGATTTTCATTGTTTAAGTTTGGATTTTAATTTAATTTTTGCCCGCTCAAAGCCATGATGTGGTCATAGCCAGTCATCACCTTTGCCACAGCAGCCTCGATTGATGCAGATTTGCAATCCAGGTGGCCAGCTACCTCTAATCCACCTCCCAAAACCACCAAAAACGACCTACGGATAATAGCATTGGCAGCGCAATAATTCGATCGATTGGGCAGTTGGGAAACGAACAAGCTTCTTGGAACGAACGAGCTTCTTGGAAGGGGTAAAAAATCATCATTTTATTCTATCGGTTGCAAATTTTGGAGGATTCATGTAATCGGCCTAATGCTTTCTTCTGAATTCTGATAGGTATTCTCACTCTGACATTGGGACCGATATTGTTTCTTATCTGCTTTGCATTGTCCCCTCTGTACAGTCATTATTCCACCTCACACAATGATATGATGTCAATCTTGAACGATCTCTTATTCTGCTTCTTACCCAGTTCAATCCCATTTACCATAACTTTTTTCCCATCATCCTTGTTACCTGTTGTGATCAGGAAGATCAACACAAAGCAAATTGTATGTTCAAAGCCGACTGGGTGAGATGAATATAAGCAGTCTTGTAGTTGTAACTTGTCATCAATGAGTTATAAGCCTTGTCAAGAGTGATCGATCTGAAGAGTAGAGTTGGAATCGGTTGTTGGAATAACTCCATCCAGAAATGGCACTTGTTTGAAGCTCAGAGCTTGAAATTTTGTTCAGTGTGATTTCGGATTAAAGGTCAAATTAGTTTTGTTGCATCAGTGTTAATCTCCTTCAGATCTCTGACAATTTGAGCTAACAAGAAGCCTGAGGATCAGGAGTGGCAATCAATTGCTCTTCAGCTGTCAACTTCGATTTGATTCAAAGTCTTGTTCAGTACTACATTGCTGGGAGAGGAAAATAGAGTCCAATTCGCTAGTTAACAGTGATTTTTTTTCATTTATTAAGGACAAGACACGTATTTAGCAAAATCTAAACCATGAAAAGAAATGCAGATGAATTGAAACTTTGAGTACAAGATTAGCATTGATAGGTTGACCCATCGTTAGTTGATGTTTTCGTGATTTACTGTTGAGGAAATAATGCAAGATAAACAATCCAGGCAAGGTAGTCGGTGCCCTAAAAGCAGTATGGGATTTGAATGTTCAAGTGAGAAAATCAGCAGTAAGAGAACAAAAATGAAAATGCTTGAGTTTGTTTAGTTTGAATGGACTCACAATTTTTACCAAAGATTGTATGTCAGAACATCTGTGATCGTTTGTCCGATTACCGATTCTACCACAATGCTGCAAAAACGAGGTCAATTGGAGTTCGCATGACAAAATTACGACCAAGAAATCGGAACATCAAGCAACCTCAAGCACCACAAGGATCACACATACCTTGGTGGATGCCTCGTAAGATTGAAAAACCGACTATCGATGTTTTGGTTGGGATTGATGCCTGGATAATGGGGGGGGGAGTCGATATCGGTGGTGGTGGTGGTGATGGTTGCCTGCGATGCTATTGCTGGTGTCTGCTTGATCACAGCGAGGTGAATCGAACTAGAGCTGTGTGGCAAAAACCAGCAGCTAAAACTGTTGAACAGCAGCACAACACCATAACTTTAGCACTTGGAAAACTTCAGTTTGTCCAAGCTTTATTCAAAACACAATACAGCAGTTCCACAAATAGTTGCTGTTTTTTCGTGAAAAAAAAAAGTTTGTTCAGAAAAAAAAAAGTTTATTTGCCTGAAAAACCCTTCAGCACAGCATCGGTGCCTTTCACCACGCACACATCCTTCCAGCTCACCCAATCAGCATCACCCCACTCTTCCGCCACAGGTATCCAGATTCCAGACTTATCTCACCAGGTATGTAACATCAAATCAGTCTTCATCGATTCACTTTCACTTTATCTGAGCTTGTGCGTCCTTCATCCATGCAGATTACAGGATCGATGCGTTACAGTGCCACATTCAAATTTATCGTCGTCAAAGCGGCTCTGGATGGATTTTCACTAGTAGAAATCAACGAACGACATGGATCGACTGTTAGTGCCGACTCCCTTTGATGCTGGTATGAAATTTACGAAAATACACGATCAGTGGTCTGTGATCCAAATACTTATCAAGTTCGGGGTCGGCCTTTGGCTCTCAGCAATGAGGAACGGACATATCTACGTGAATTGATTGCCGAAAACCCAGCTGTCTACCTCGATGAAATTCAAACTCGACTGTTGGAAGAGCACGGCACCCATATCTTGCTGCAGACGATTTCAAACGAGTTACACCAACGGCTTCGTCTGAGCCGCAAATCAATCCGGAGAGTTCATCCCAGCCAGAACATCAATCGGCGTATGGAGTACATCTTAATGATAGCTCACCACAACCCATCAACCCTGGTATTCACAGGTGAGTTTCATATTTATCTAATTGTGTTGATTATCTTCTTCTCATCATCCCTTTCCAGATGAATGCGGTATCTGCCTTGATGGCATTGTTCGAACTAGAGGATGGGCTCCTGTTGGTGAAAGGACAGCTCGCATCCCGACCTCACGTGCCACACATCGCTTCAATGTGGTCCCAGCCATTGGTTTAAATGGACTGGTTGCTGTGTTAGTTCAGGAGGAGAATATGTATTGGTTTGACTTCGAGTACTACTTGGAGAACATCCTCGTAAGTCATCAAAAATTTTGATTTTGATTTTTTAAATACAAACTGATGATGGCTGTTTACAAAGCTCCCGATGATGCATCCATTTCCAGGACCTCAAAGTGTCCTGGTCTTGGACAACTCATCTATTCACCACGGTGGGCGGATCAATGCGATAATCGAGGCCAGAGGCTGCCTTCTCATCTATCTCCCAACCTACTCACCTGACCTGAACCCAATCGAAAAGGGATTTAGTGTTCTCAAGGCAAATTTGAGACGGTACGGAGAGATGCTTGGAGGAGCTGATGATAGAGAAGAGATCGAGGCTTTTGCACACATTGTTTTCACCCCCCAACTTGTTAGAAGTCTTTTCCGAGGGTCAGGATACCTCGATTAAAACATTTTCTCTTTCCAAAACCTTAAACAAGAATGTTGTAGCTCTACACTTTGGTCCGAATTCTGCTGTTGTCATTTGAGAAAAACTGCCTCAAAACTCAATTACATGATGTGAAAAGGTTCATGATCAGACTTTACAGAGTAATTTGATTTTGAATGATCCACAAAATAAAGAGAAAAATTTGAAATTCTACATTTCTTTTGATTAGATTCATAGCAATGTGAGTGTAGGGCAAAAGAAAAAGCTGAATTTAATGTGAGACATGGTCATTTCGATCGGTTGATACACTATGATACAGATGAATTGCTTTTGAGTTTGTAGTGGCTAATTTAGAAAGCAGAAAAAAACCTGCTGGAAAGAATATTGCTCTTGATCAAATGAGAGATTACTCGATATCAGGAAGAAATCGTGCCTTCTTGAGATTCTTCAAGTGGGTTGGGTAGGTTTTTACCGATCTAATGAGGCATCTAGCTGGAATGAGTGGAACACCTGAAGTAACGAGCTCATCAGCTGAAACAACCTCAAACATACTCCAATGAGTGATACCGAGTTTGCTAAGACCGTTGTTGATTTCTTCAGAGTCTGCATTGACCCTGGCAAACTTGAGGTAATCGCTGAGATCGGTGGTATCTTCAAATGGGGGAGGAGACGGAGGGATGACATTTGATTCGGATGGAGGTATTTGTACAGCAGAAGTACTAGCCTGAGGATAAAAACTAGACGGATCCGCTTGATTAGGGTTACCAAAAGCCGCTGAGTAATTCCCATAGGGCATTGCCGGAAGTTGATAGGGCATCTGCATCATGCCATACGGGTTCATGGCCTGGTTTTGATTTGGATAAAACGGCTGTGGCTGACTGTTGTTTGGGTAATTCGGAGGGTTCGCTTGCTGTGGCTGACTGTTGTTTGGGTAATTCGGAGGGTTCGCTTGCTCAGACTTGTCGGTTTTATTTTTGAATTGGAACAGTGGCGATTTTGGAGGCACCAGGACAGTGACCTCTTTGGAATTCGCTTGCTGTTGAATCAAATGGAAATTATCAATTAAAATGTGTGGACTGAATCAATCAAAAGGAATCAACGTACTATAGCCTTGGCCCAGGCATATGCTTTTCGCATTGTGATTAGAAAGTATTCGTCCGAATTCTCTGGATTTATATAGACCGAGGTTTCAGCGCTTCCAGAATGTTCTTCAGAGGGTGAGTGTACCAAGAAGATTTCTTGCAAGAGCTGGCTGAGGGCTGCTGTGTTCATTGCACTCGGTGATGGTACGAAGACCGGATCATTCACATCAGCACTAGAGTCAGTATGGTTCTTTTTGAGTTGCTTGTAAACCGATTGTTTCTATATTTGGAGGAAGAAACTTTCCAACAGTCAGAAAGTTGACCGATAGCCCATCACAAAGTGAAGTTAAGAAAACACACCTTTGCAATGTCCTTTGGGTCTTTTTGTACCAAGCGACAAACGATCTTTCGGGTCTCGGAGGTCCCTTCGGCAACGAGAAGAAAGTCCTTGAATGTTTCCACGGAGTCGAGTCGTCTTTTGTGGTTACCTGCAAAGGCTCCTCCAAATGGGATAACGACGTTCCAGAAGATATTTCGGGCATTCTCTTGACGTTCGACAAAAAAACCAAGAAATTTGTCCTCCTCGCTCTTGATTCCCCGGATTACTTCAGCTTTAAAAGCATCGAGATCCTTATCGATGACCTTCCAGATGATGACGATCTTCTCGTTTTCGGACTGGATTTTATCGGTGGTGGGAATCGGGGTCTTTGAAGGAACCGTTATATTTCTTCTTTTTTGGGACTCCTACTCGCCTCCTTGCCAGGAACATAGAGAGTGAACTCGACATAAACAGGAAAGCTTTTATTTCCATCAGCGGAACCTACACCAGAAACCGATACTCCTGGAGTTTGAATCTCAACAGGCTGGTCGGACGTGCTCGATTGAGTAAGGATCGGTCGGCTTTCTGTGCTTGCCGTTTCAGTCAAGTGGGCCGTTCCATCGAACAAAACCGGAATGTGTGGGCCTGGGATAGAAGGACAATCTCGTCCAAATGTTCCGTCTTCATTCATTTGGTTTTGAAGCCATTTGTATGCTGCTTGTTGAGATGGAGAAACGGGTCGATCGTTGGGCCTAGATGACATCTACAGAATCGAATCGATCAACTTTAGTTTATCCAAATGCAAATAAGGGGAAATGAAGGATACAATACCACTGGAAATTGTCTTGAGTTTTGGTATTAAAGGATGGGTGAACTGAACAGATCGATGGAATGGTCAACAGCACCGGGCTGAGTATGTAGCTCTGTTCTAGATGCAGCCAATGTGGCTGAATCGGAGATGACGTC